CTCCCCGCCCCATCCCCCTCCTGGCGTGTCTCAAGATCCTTTTAATATATAAAAAGTTAAGCTCAGGGCCCGCCCTGTGGCGCACTGGGGAGTGCGCCAGCTCCCGCCGAGGGTTCGGATCCCATATGGAAACCGGTTCCCGCTCACTGGCTGGGCGCGGTGCGGGTGCGACACCGAGGGATGCGATCCCCATCCGGTCAGTAAAAAAGACAAAAAGGAAAAAAAAAAAAAAAAAGTTAAGCTCAAAAATACGTGTCTTTTCAACTGTTAACGCTCCCTTTCCCCTTCCTTCCCGCCTAGTTTTCATCCCTCCTTTTATCCGAATGTCCGGCCCTGAGGTCAGCGCATTCCTGGTAGGAGGCACCGAGGATGTGAACGTGTCCCTGGTCCTGCTGCAGGAAGAGGCGGGTAAAGAGTCGGCCCTTCTTAGGGGGAGGGTGGGGATTGGGCCAGATCCAGGGTGCCCAAGGAAAGCTTAGCGAGGTGGCATCCTCTGGGCCGCTGCCTTGTCTTCTATAAAGTCGGGAAGGGTGGGGTGGGGTGTAGACCAAACAGAACCGACGGACAGGTTCTCTTGAAATAATGGCTAGCATTCATTGAACCATCCCCGTGTACTTTATATGTATCGCGTAATTTTCCTAATAAGAACAGTAACATCGTTTCATTTCACTTGACGAATGAAGAAACTGAAGTTCAGAGAAGTTGCTACTTGCCCAGTGTCACACAGCTTGTAAAGGTCCCAGTCCTAGGCTTGTAAAAGGATTCCATCCTAGGCAGTCTCACCCAAGAGTGCACGCCCTTAGCTGCTGGGCAATACTGCCTTGCGTTCTATCTTCTTTCCCTTAGGCATTTTGCCAGTTCCGACTTGTGGAGTACCGAGCAATGAGACAGGAGACTGGAGTGTGACTGTGACCCCCTTTGTGGTAAGACCAAGAGTAAAACCGTCTCTGTAGTGGCTGTAGAGGCCCACATTTAGGGTTTCTGCAGTGCTTTCTTGACTTGACAAGGTATGACTTTCTCCATGCTCAGAACTACCACAAAATTATGAACTTTCAGATCTCAGAGACACCCATCCAGCCCAGGATTCTTATCCTAGGGTTTGGGGGTCCCTGGATGCATGTCAAGTAGTCTGTGAACCTTATGATATAGTGTGTAAAATTCTGTATGTATGTGCATTTCTCTGATGAGGTGGTTACCAGCTTCCAGCAGTTTATCAAATGGGTCTGCAACTCAGAGCTTTGTAACCACTGATCTTGCCCAACTCTGAGCTAGAAGCTCAGAGTTGTAAGGACACTCAAGCCTGGAGAGAGTAAATATCGTCTATTTAATAAGTGCAATCGGCCCTCCGTATTTTTGGGTTCTACATCCAGATTCAACCAACTCCAAATGAAAATATTTGAAAAAAACTACCAAAATCAAAAATGGCAATGTGATAATAAAAAATAATAGGAATAAAAAACCAATGCATATAACAACTATTTGCATAGTATTTACATTGTATTAGGTATTATAAGTAACCTAGAGATGATTCAAAGTATATGGGAGAATGGACGTAGGTTATATGCATATACTACATCATTTTATATAAGGGACTTGTGCATTCTCGGATTTTGGTATCAGGGGTCTTGGAACCAATCCCACTCGGACACTGAGGGATGGGTGTATGTGCGAGGCATCAACTCTGGAGATAAAAAGTTGAAAAAGGCAGACCCTGCTTGCACCCCTGGAATGAACATTTACATGTCCAAAGTCATTCTGAGATGAACTAGGGATTGTTTTCATTGACTTGTTTGTGTATTTAATCTTCTGCTGGTAGGATAATAAACTAAAAAAGTGCTGGACAAACTGAGTTAGTTTATCAGACCTGTGTTTAGCTTTCTCTAAGTATCCAAAAGTTGTTTGCTTTTATGTTAAACTAAGAATTAGGAATGAGGGTTTGTGTGTTACCACAGGTTTATGGGTGGAATTGAAGAGAATTACGTATTCTTTGTAGCATTTCTCCTTTTGTAAAATAATTGAGGCCGGTAGATGCTTTTATTGTGTTTTCCATTATGTGTTCTTATAATTATAGATGCTGTTTTGAGTCACTCTAAAAAGTACAGCAATATTTTCTTTCAGAATGTGTTGGAAGTGACAGTAAGGTTGAAGAGGGCTCTGCAGTCGTGTTCCTCTAATGAGACAGATTCCTTCTCAGAATTGCCGTGTATTATCCAGACTCTTCTGGTCTCAGCATCTCACGGTTCATTCTGTTTAGCACATCTACTCATTCAAGTGGAAATTTATGCCAACTCTTCTCTGACCCATAACGCATCAGGCAAGTAAAGTCTTTGTCAGAACATTCATGTCAAATATATCTGTATGATTATAAGAGTATGCCATGCAGTTTGTAAAGTGTACTTAACTTCACATTTGGGTGTGTCTTGCCTTCCTAAACTTGGTTTTCTTTTGTTTTCTTGTTTTAAAAGTTTTCATTTTGTACTAATTTATTTAGTTAAGATTTATTTTATCTTGCTCTACTGTTTGCATCTTTGTAAGCTGCCTTAAATCCTTTTTGGGGGGCTGGCTGCTTAGCTCAGTTGATTAGAGCATGGTGTTATAATACCAAGATCAAGGGTTTGGATCCCTGTACCAGCCAGCTGCCAAAAAAAAAAAAAATCCTTTTTTGGGAGAAGGAGAGATTTGTTTCTGTGTATTGATTCTCATGACTCCATCTTATGGTGGGTGGGGCGTGGGGGGAAGAAGAGGAAAGACTCATGAATGAGTTTATAGAAAAAATGCAGCTTTTCAGTGAAAGCTTTTGACTTTCCTTCCTAGAGTCAGCATGCTAACTTATGTTTATAGAGGCATGTATTCCCTTCTTTAAAAAACACACACAATAATAACACATGATTCATGATTTTATACCTTTTTTACAAATAATATAACTTAGATATTGTTCCACATGAACACATGTAGTTACACCTCATTCTTTTTAATAGCTGCATAGTATTCCACTGTGTGGATATACCACCGTTTATTTGACCAGGCTCTTACTGATGGAATTTAAGTCATTTCCAGCTTTTGATACCGTAGTGCTATAGCAGATATCATTGTGCACATGTACTTGTGTCTTTGGACATGAGAAGATGGTTTTGCCTTATTCTCTCTTTCACATATGGCAGTGCTCTAAGAACAAAAGAACTTCCAGCTGGATGTGCCGATGTTGAGGGGTCTGCTGTGATAGGTGTGAGTGCTAGCATATTTTGCCTTTACGGTCACCTGGGATGGAAGGAAGCATCCCTTTATAGTAGCAAAGGCCTGTTACTCTGAGGCCCCTGCACTCTCACTTCCCTTATCGCATCCCCTAACTGTGGTCTCCCTGTGGTTTTGGAAGTTTAGAAAGACAAGATGAGATGGTGCCATTCAGTGGATACCATACCGTCATGGCATTTGCATGGGGCGATATCCAAAATAAAAAAACAAGTGCACATGGGTGAATATAGTGTGCAATCTTTTGCCAGAAAGGAGGCAGAAATAAAAACATATATTTGTCTAAAGAAATTCTGGAAGGATATCCAAGAAGCTACCAGGTGGAGGGGTAATGTGGGGTCAGGAAAAGGCTGAGAGTTAGGACTTTTTAAAAATAATATCCATATTTTAAAAAATTTTATTTATTTATTTATTTATTTTGGTGGCTGGCCGGCATTGGGATCCGAACCCTTGACTTTATTGTTACAAGGCTGCACTCTAATGAAGTGAGTTAACCGGCCCACCCCAATTTTTTTTAATTGACATATTGTAATTGTACATATTTATGGGGTACAGTCTGACGTTTTGATACTTATATATGTTGTATAAGAGAGTGAGGACTTTTACTTTTTTTTATATCCTTTTGTTTTTTTGGAACTATGCAAATGTATTACCTACTTTCAATTTTTTTTTTTGAAGAAAGAAAAGAATTATTTCAGAAGAAAATAGCATTTTCTAATGCTTAAAATTCAAAACAAAGCAAAAAAAAAAAATCCTTCAGTGGATGCCATAAAAAACTACAGGATGGTGGATAGAGCGTGGTGCTGAAAACACTGAGCTCTAGGGTTTGATTCCTGTAATGGCCAGCTGCCAAAAAAAAAAAATTTTTTTTATAATAAACTACATAAGGGATTACTGTTAGCTGTATCATTCAAAGCACTGACTTTTTTTCCTTTGAAAAATATGTTTGAGTATATTTAGGTATATTTCGGAATGTCCTTGTATAAATAGCCAAACTTAGGAAATTTACAGTCTTTGTATATTGGTGATTATGAGATGTCCACTTTGACCCTATGAAGGTATGAACAGTTTTGCACCTAGTCAGATAGAGATCAAAACAAGAAAAATGATGGAAGGACAGATGGGAGGTATGTGGTATGCCTAGTGACAGGGAAGCTAGCCACTGACGCAGGAAACATATAGCTAGATAGGCAAACATCTATCTGTATGGCGCATAGTAAAACCCAATGCTAAAGCACCTCAGTTGTAACACTAAGGTCAAGGGTTTGGATCCCAGTACTGGCCAGCTACCAAAAAATAAATAAACAAATAAATACATAAATAAAATGCCTTGCTGGTGTCCATGGGTTTGATTACACTGAGGGTCAGACCCTTGCCCTTGTAAGATGGTCTGTTATGTGGACCTGCTCATTCCTGATACCATTGACGTGCTAGGGTTCTACTATATCATAACATAGAATATGTATTTAGTTGTTTATATGTTTCAACTATCATGTCATTAAAATTAAGTGTTACAAGGGCTGGCTGGTTGGGTCGTTTAGAGCATTGTGTTGTAACATCCAGGTTGTTTTAGTCCATTTTGTGTTGCTATAACAGAATTACCTGAGACTGGGTAATTTATAAAGAAGAGAGGTTTATTTGGCTTACAGTTCTGGGACAGCTGCATCTGGCACAGGCCTCAGGCTGCTTCTACTCATGGTGGAAAGTGTCAGGCAGCCGGCGGGTACAAGCAGATCACATGGCGACAGGAAGCAAGAGAGAGGAAGCAAGAGAGAGAGGAGGTGCCAGGGTCTTTTTAAGCAACGAGTTCGTGCAGGAACTAATAGAGCGAGAACTCACTCATTAATCCCCCCTCCCCCAGGGAGAGCATTAATCCATTCATGAGGGATCTGCCCCCATGACTCAATCAGTTTCCAGCACTGCCACATTGAAGATCAAATTTCCACATGAGTTTTGGAGGGGACAACACATCTAAATTCCATCACAGGTCAAGGGTTTGGATCCTGGTAAGGGCCAGACAGACACACACACAAAAGTTAAGTGTTTCGTAGAGTTTGAACAAATAATTACTACATAGTTTTCTAACATGTACCAAATCCTAGGAAGATGTAAAGTGCAGTAGGCTGTAGCTTTTATCTGGTAAATGATTACAGAGAAACTGGAAGCACTACTGCCTCTGGATGCTGAGTTAGGATGCTGAAATGTCATCTAACATATTCCCTTTTCAAAGGAAAAAAAGTCCAGAAATCTGTAATATCCTGAAGTGTTATAAGCAATGAGCCCTGCTAATTTTTATCTGTTCGAGTATTTCTTATGTGCTTTCCCTTGTCTCCAGGTATATTATCCCCAAGTGTATCATCTCCTGAGTTACTGCATCATCTCCTGAGCTGGTTTCTCTTCCGCTGGCTTTGTGCCTTTCAAATCCCCCTCTACCTTCTCCCCTGCCATCATATTGCTCCCTCTGTCCATCTGCCCCCTCTGCCCTCTACTTACAACTCTTTGATAGCCTCTCTTACCTAGGTAAGCTTGTTTATATGTTTTAGGCTCAGCTCAGACTCTCCCTCTGCCAGGCAAGTCTTCCCTGAACCCCAGCCTAAGCCAGGTGCCCTGACTGGGTTCCCAGAACAAATCTATTTTGGGGCCGGCCTTCGGCTCACTCGGGAGAGTGCGGTGCTGATAGCACCAGGGCCACGGGTTCGGATCCCATATAGGGATGGCC